TGTGTGTGTGTGTGTATATATATATATATATATATGCTTAGCAAAAAATCATTTTTTTAACATTCTATCAATTGATATTTTGAGCAATAGTTTATAACATTGATTCTGTCATACTGTAAAATGTGAGATACCTTCTAAATTATAGTAAATGATGATACTGTGTTTATGTTAAATGAATTTTATTGTGTTATACTTATTTGAAATTCAGAACATATAGTAGCTATCAGAATAAGTTCCCTGTCACATTAAAAGTTGTGCTCAACTTTCAGGCTTAGTGTGCAGGTCAGGCATATTAAGTGAAAATGGCCACCATGACTCCCACCTCCTAAATTGTAAGATGGTAGCTATTCTTTGTTCCCAGCTCAAAACAAAATACCCTAAAGCCCTAAGAAAGAATGACTGAAACTACACCGTTACGAAAATGTAGACAGCTCTAAAGAAAATGGTGACAAGCTGCTAGTGGTCTCATATTTCATTTCTCTTCCCTCATCATGGGGCCAGCCCTCTGTGATATTGAACTTCATAGGTCTAAAGAAATACACTCTTGAAGCTCAGATTAAAGTTTATAATATATTTTCCTAAGAAATCATGTTAAATTATAGTTGGGTATATTTGAAATAGTACTTTTAACATTCATATCTCAGTAGGTTTTTGTGATCTATTCTAGACCTTCTACCATCATTTAAAGCATTAAATGATGCTTTATGGGGGTGTGAGGGCATTCACTTTCAAGCCATAGTTAACCAAGTTAATAAATATTAAAAAATAGAGTAAAGGATGAGAACATCAAGAATACTGCTATTATAACTTTACAGAAGTCTTTAAATTACTGTTGGTTCATATGATTTAATTTGGCTAACCTGAGTATAAGAACAATCTGTTTCAATATTGTTAAAGGAGTAATACAATTTTCTTGACATTGGCAGAATGCCTGAAAAGTGGGAGAATTTTGTATCAGGAATTTTGAAGCTCATTTTGCCTACTGTTAAAGCGAAAACCTAGTACTTATTTTTATATATGCTTCTTAAACCACTTCAAAATTAAAGTTAAATCCAATAATTTGCTTCCAAGGAATTTTTCTGAGGAAATAATCATAAATGTACAGAAAAATTTATGCACAGAGAGTTAATAATAATTATTCTTATTGTAATACAAAGAATTAGAAATTAGAAAGCACTGCTGTGGAAAACTGCCAGTGTAGAGATTGGTGAAATAAATTCTGGAACATCCATATGATTAAAGACTGTAGAGCTAAAGTTTGTACTTATAAAATAAGTAAACCACATAGAAAAATACTGAGTTATAAATTAAAAAAAGGTTAAAAATAACGTATGGTCCCAATTTTACAAAACAAAAAAAAACCCCAAAATGAAGATACATATATATGCATATATTCACACAGTAAAAACACTGGAACAATATTCTAAGAGTAAAATGTTAACAGATCTCTGGTTGGTGAGATTACTGTTTATATTTGTTTTTACCCTTTGCTAAATCATCTAAATTTTCTATCTAAAAACTTAAATATAAGCTTAGAAAATTTTTTTCCCATAAAGACAGAAAGGTTATTTTACTAGAGGTTAGCACAGATAAGTTTATAATTGTTCTTGAAATTACTTTTGAATAGAACTTAATCCATCTTATCTCTGGTTTTTTTCTGATTATCAAAAGTGTCATTGTGGGATACCTGGCTGGTTCAGTTGATGGAGCATGTGACTCTCGATCTCGGGGTTGTAAGTTCAAGCCCCACATTGGGTGTAGAGATTACTTAAAAATAAAATCTTTAAAAAAAAAGTCTCACTGTGAATTGTAACTGTAATTCTGTTCTAAACACTTTGATAGCTTACTGGTGATAATCATCTTGTTATAATGAGTAGGAAAAATGTTAACTGAGGGATACTGAGCCATTAAGATGGTAATAAATGAAAATCTGTCCATCTTCTTAATAGATAATGAAGACTAGAATATACAACTCCTGTAGAAATTGTACAACTTTATTTGAAAGTAGAGAGATTAGAATCAGCAATTCTTTTGAACTCTCAGACATTATGATCCCTTAATTTATTGATAATTTTTTTGTTGTTTTAAATTGCTGAAATACATGTTCCAATAAGATCTAAAACATGTACTTATGGAGATTTGTCTGATTCCAGAGGTTCTTTGAAAACCTTAACCCCATGGGAAGTGCTTCTGAAAAGGAGTTTACAGATTATTTGTTCAACAAGTCACTAGAAATTGAACCCCGAAACTGCAAACAGCCACCTCGATTTGTAAGTTCATTACAATTTAGGAAAAATTGTTTTTTAAAACAATATTATCTTCAGTGTTTAGTAACATATTACCATTAAAATTCTAATTTATTTGAATAGCTATTTTTCAGTCCTTTGTTTTGCAGTACTCTTCTATTTCTAAAGTGATACATACTGTGGGAGGCAATGTTATTAGCCTTTTGATAAAATCTGGTTTATCCTTTATCTTTGTAGGACTTCTTTATCTGTCAGCTTTTAAGCCTTCCTAGTATAAGGGGGAAAGTTGTGAGAAAGTGAGAGCTGTAAGTGACCAGGAAATGAAAAGACCGGAAAAAGGAATGAGCAGGTGTATCATGGTTCTTCTGGCCTGACCATGACTCCTGTCATTAGAGCACCACAGTCCATGGTCGCCACTGGAATGAACTTCACGCTAAAATTTGCTGCTGCATTTCAGAGTTATTCTTGGGTTTGCAGTGGCAACAGAAGTAGGGGAAGACCAATTCTAAGTGGTTGAACAGAAAGCAAGATGTGGGAGGAATTAAAAACACTTACAACACATCTACTTTGGGGAGCCTGGGTGGCTCAGTCATTAAGCATCTACCTTCGGCTCAGGTCATGATCCCAGAGTCCTGGGATCGAGCCCCACATCAGGCTCCCTGCACAGCCAGGAGCCTGTTTCTCCCTCTCCCACTCCCCCTGCTTATGTTCCCTCTCTCACTGTCTCTCTCTGTCAAATAAATAAAGTCTTTTAAAAAAGTAAAAATAAATGTTTATTGGTTCTTTGTATTTCTTCTTATAAAAATTTTTTGTCTTTTTAATTGTTGAGTTTTTCTTATGACTCTCTGGGTTATCTTACACTCTGGATTTTAATCCCTTGTCAGTTATGTGTGTTGTAAATGTCTCTTCTCAGATTGAAGCTTCTCTTTTCACCTTTTTTTCTGTGTTTTATGGACAAAAGTTCTTAATGTAGTCAAACATATCTATTTTGTCTTGTTATTTGTGCTGTTTGGTGTCTTATTTAACCGATCTTTCTCTATTACCTTAATGTTTTGTCTTTCACGTTCAGTCCTTAATCCAGCTGGAAATAAGTTTGGAGTATGGAGTGAGGCTGGAGTCTAATTTCATGTTTTGTTCCACATGGCTAGGCAGTTGCTTCCATACATTTATTGAAAGTTTGATAGGAATTGCACTGGTTCTGTAAATTGTATTGGTTCAGTTGGTAGAGAACTGGCAGTTTTACAGTGAGTCTTCCAAACCATGAACAGGTATAAGGTATAGCTCTCTCTTTATTTATTCATTTAATAAAGTTTAATGGTTTTCTTGATGATGATCTCATAACATCTTTTGTTAGATTTATATTAGAATATTGTTTTAAGATCTTATTTTCTTTATTGATCATACCTAGAAATGCAGTTCATCTTTGCCTACTGGTTTTATATCCAGCAACATTGCTAAATTCTCTCATTAACACTCCGTATTGTAGATTTATTGTTTTTTTCCACAGTTATATCCTCTGTGAATACTGATAATTTTTCTTTGATTTTATTTTTCTTGTTCATGCTAGTTAGGACTTCTGTAGAGTACTGAATGAAAGTTAGGATGTAATCACCTTTGCTTTTTCCTTAAATTAAAGGAAATATATTGGACAGCTTTCCATCAAGTTCAGTGTGTGCTGTGGGGGGGGGTGTGTGTGTGTATATACTTAACCAGGTTAAAAATAAAGTAATTAATTTAGAACAAAAGATGTAATAATGAAATATGAAAGAAATGATTCTGCTTATTTGGTTTACTAAATTTTTGTTCAATTTTTCTCTCCCTCCCACAGCCTTCTCCTCCTTACCAAAACCTTACTCTTAGCCTCAAAAGACCTTTCAGTGGAAAAATATTCGAATGCTTTAGGATTATATTTCTCTCTTGTAGCTATAATTTGAAACTCTGGCTAATCAGAATTATAACTAATAAGATCCTGAGGAAGAATTTTTTATTGCTTAATCCTCTAATTTATATTAGAAAAAAACTAAGTTTTTAAGTTTTATATTTATAGATAAATCATTTCAGGCAAGTACAGAGGGATAGTACTCATCTTTAATTTAAAAAACTATTTTTCAAATATTTGCAAAATTTTATAAAATTCCAAGCCCAGGGCGCCTGGGTGGCTCAGTTGGTTAAGCGACTGCCTTCGGCTCAAGTCATGATCCCGGAGTCCTGGGATCGAGTCCCGCATCGGGCTCCCGGCTCGTCGGAGAGCCTGCTTCTCCCTCTGACCCTATCCCCTCTCATGCTGTTTCTCTCTCTCTCTCAAATAAATAAATTTAAAAAAATAAATAAATAAAATTCCAAGCCCTGTGTTCATAAGATATGATTGAATTGTAAAAAGACAAGTTATACTCAATTTATATATTTTAAAGGCGTTGCAGGAAAGAAAAAGGAGAATTTTGGATGAAGCTGTGGAATTAAGTCAAGATCACTTTAAAAAATACCTAGTAAAACTTAAGTCAATCAATCCACCGTGTGTGCCTTTTTTTGGTAAGTTACTGAATATAGATTTATATTTATATTTTGAGGTAGTTTGTTGTAGCCAAAAGAGACCAGCCTTTAAAGGCAGGTTGTCCTGATTTTTATATCTGAGCATATCTACTTTTATTAGCTGTTTATATTGATAAATAAAACTTTAAAGTCTCTGTTTCCTTATCTTTAAAATAGAGGTTATAATTATCTCATAGAGTTGTTGTAAGGAGCTCTGTGGGGTCTTTCTATAAGAGTACTAATTCCATTCATGAGGGCTCCACCCTTGGGATTTAAGCACCTCCCAAGGGTCCCATCTCCTAATACTATCACATCGGGCATTAGGATTTCAACATAGGAATTTTGAACATTCAATTATGCATGCCTGTGTACACACACACACACACACACACACACACACCCCCCACTGGTTGTGTTAACCAAAAATGTTTCCAGACAATCCCAGATATTCCCTAAGGAACAAAATTGCCCCCAGTTGAGAGCCACTGATTTAAATGAATCCATAATTACATATGAAAAAGGAGCTAAAAACTTTCTTACTGTCCCAGAGTGAGGAATAATTCTTTTTCTATCTAAATTATGGGCTTTGGGAAAACAGAATTTATAAATCTATAGTCTCATCACCAGAATTGGCTTAAAATTAATTTATTGATCGTTATTTAAGATCATTGGCATAAATATTTATAATCAAATATTAAAATGGTTAGAACAGATTTAACACTTACACCTTAGACTTTATGAATGAATCCTTCCTTTTATTTTAGGCTGTTAGTCTAAGGAATAAATTAAGCCTTTCCTAAATCCTAATTTTCTTTTTATTTTAAATTTTTTAAATGTTAAAGAAAACTCCTAATGTAAAATTAATTAATAAGCCTATCAGAGACTTACCAACATTTTAGGGGTAGAATTGCTGGATTATAGGATATCTTTCAACTTCACTAGATCAGTTGTTTTTTCAAATGATTGATTTAGTAACAGATTTTATAACTTTTCTTCAAATACTCTTTTTTACTAGGAATATATTTAACAAATATTCTGAAAACTGAAGAAGGGAATAATGATTTTTTAAAAAAGAAAGGGAAAGATTTAATCAATTTCAGTAAGAGGAGGAAAGTAGCTGAAATTACGGGAGAAATTCAGCAGTATCAGAATCAACCTTACTGTTTACGGATAGAACCAGAAATGAGGGTAAATATTTTCTTTGCTTATCTTTAAAAGAGAACATGTTAAATCCTCTGCAATCTGTAAGAAATACCATAACCGCACGTTATGCTACTTACTTTACTATAAAAATAATATAGTTAATAATTAATCATTAGATAGAAGTGGTAAATATTAGATATTCTGTGCTAACAGTCTGCAGTTATGAATATTACTAGGTACTGGGGTACCTGGCTGGCTTAGTTGGGAGAGCATATGGCTCTTGTTCTCAGGGTTGTAAGCTTGAGCCCCATGTTGGGTGTAGAGATTACTTACAAATAAAATCTTAAAAAAAATATATATTATTACGTGCTTTTTTCTTGAGAGTATTGCTTCTTTGTACAACTGGTTCAAGTAATGCTTTCAAAAAATGAATGACAAAATGGAATGAAACTCTCTGATGTCCATGTAGTAAAAAGAAAATCCACTACTAGTACTGTCATTGGTTGTTAGCCATTTTAGATATTTTACGTGTGCCAGTGTAACATTAAGTACTTAATTTCTTCATAAGAACACTGGGTTTAAATAGGGGAAGAGGTTGGTTTTATATGTGTGTGTGTGTGT